ATTTCGTGGAGCCGGAGCTACAATATCTTCCGTTCCAGGTTTACAAAACTGTCTGATTTCGCGGAAAAGATAGTTCCTGCGTTCCTCAGTCAGTCCATCTGGATTGACTATGTCAGGAAGGATAGAAGGTGGCGGAAGAATAGCATTATTCTTCAACAACATAAACGACTGTTCTGGACTAGAAACAAATTCTTTGTAGAAGACCTTGCCAGGGTTTTCGTTTGAAAACCGAAAATGATGAAACTTTTGAATGTTCGGCAACTTTTTGAAGTATTGCCCGAGAAACGAACTGCAGTCATACACAAGAACAATTACTCGCCCGTCATGTGTGCCAACAAGTTGTGCTTTGTTTAGTCTGCTAGTGCTGGAGGTCTCTACTAGTCATGCAAATTCGTAGAGTGACGAAACGTACGTGACTTTAAAGGCTTTCTTTATCAATTTGCAAGAACGGTCTGGAGCAAACTTGGTGTGACCGGCAATAAGGAAAGAGTATGTGATCGAATGATGTAGTTTCATTAAAGTTCTCCACGCGAAGTACCATAAAAAGTAATTGTTTTTATTTTGACCCGAGCAGTTATCAGCGTTAAGTTGTGCGTCTGTCAGAAAACTGTTTGACCCTTTCAATTAAAGTGGACTTGCTTTCTTCAGACGATGATGTCATGGTGACTGATTTTTTAATGTCGGGATCATCATCTCTAAGATTGTAGTTTTGTTCATTGCTATTCAGCCAAGTACAATCCTGGCTCCATAGGAACTCCGGTCCTAGAACCCATCTGGAATCGTGAAGTTCCTTGGCTCTCTTTTCGCACAATGCCTAATCCTTGGGTTCAGCTGAGATTCTATGTAGTGCCATTGCTTCTTATCTGTGCTATCTTGTATCTCTTGTACCCTGCTGGCCACATCCATGTGAAATCGTTTGCTCTCATTGTTCAGATATCCAAGTACAACCTTGCTATCTGTCCTGTAGAAGTCTTCATCGATTCTGTACTCTAATTCCCGATGTATTTGTTGGCTTATTCGTATGGAACAGACAGCTGCTGTAAGCTCAAGTCACAGAATGGTAACCCTTTTTAGAGGAGCTACCAGGCATTTTCTCATCACAAATGCACAGTGCACATTACGCACTTCGTCTTCAAGGCGCACGTAGCTACACTTGACTATATCCTTGGACACTTGCATCGGTAAAATGATGCAATTCTGCTCTGATGACTTGACTGAAGTGGTTTGGCTTGTGACCTCGAGAAATTTGATACTTAGTAGTTTCATCAGTTCCACTCTCCATCTTTCCCATTTCATTTTTCCTTCTTCTGGAAGAGGTTCATCAGAGTCCAGGCTTAGACTGCATAGTTATTGTAAAATTGCCTTTCTTTGCAACATGAGGAGGCAACAAATCCTATGGGGTCGTACACGGAACTCATGATGGACAAAATTAATGAGTCTCATACATGGCTAGTCTTGGAGAACGATATTGAAATTTACTGTGTAATGCCTACACTTGTCTATATGGAAATACTACCAGCGTTTTTTTGGACCAATTACCTCCACCTATTCAAGGATATTTTCACTAAGATCCACATCAAGTCTCAAGCTTTGTGTGTGGAGAAAGCTGGAGAGCATCACCTATGTTAAGCAACTGAGAATTTTGAATTTTTGTATTTAGAGGACACATTACGGAACAGCGCCTGTAGATCCATGTCGCCTGCAAAATCGCAGGTCCCAGGACTATTTGCGCGCTCACAAAGGAAGCCGACGCATGTCGCGCCCTCTGATTCAAGACTCAAGTGTTGGGGTATTGTTTCCACGATACAAAGGTAATTTAACTTAAAAAAATCTTTAGATCTAAGCTTTCGCTCTACTCTCTATTTTATAAGGAAATGAAAACGCTCAACTTGATAAATATTTTGACTTCATAAGATATTTTAATGATTTAGGCCAGCAGAATGTATAGAATTCTAGAAAAACAATTCAGGAAGGTGAACGGTTTTGAACTGCGCTAGACATTGTTTTTATCAGTATGCAAATCACCTACGCAATCACTCACTTTCCGTCAAACTGAAATATCCTGACTTTTTTTTACCACTTTTTGATTTGATTCGTTTCATTTTATATTATTTTGTGCAAGCTAAGCCCTTTCATGCCAATTTACGCTTTCAAAAGGAAGAAAACTTTGAGGAAACATTGTGTTTACAACCACGGCAATTTGTATCTATTTCGCTTCACTTGTACTTATATGCAAATTACTGTTCATCTGCCGGATTTCGCTGGAGACAAAAATATGGATTTTGAATTCCCAAATGCTTGCCTTTTGGGGCACCCTTTTTATTTTGGGTATCAAGATTTTAAAAGTTAAGCTTCAGACTTTTCATTCCAACGTTTTAATGTGGGAAAGTTAGGAGAATTGCAGCAACTGATTAAAGTCAACACGCTTTAAGACGGCATAACTTGATCTTTCTGTTATCTTTTGTTCTTCTATTGTCTCCAAAACAATAACGATGTTTCACCAATTTCCACCTACAAATAGTAGGACACATTTGATTGACAGAAAAATTTGCATTTACGAGCGACGCGTTTCTACAGTCGCGATTCCGTAATGGTTTGACAGTCATACAGTCATGATAACAGTCACACTGTAGCTCACTCTGGAGGTCGGTGATGTAGAGGTTGAGAATAACTGGACCCAGAGTTGAGCCCTGAGGAACACAGAATTCCATTGTTGCCATATCTGACCTCCTGTCATCGATTTGCACCAGCTGTCTCCTTTGAGTTAGACAGTCAGTCATCCATAGTAAGAAGTATTTTGAGAACCCTAGGCTGTGCATCTTAGAGACCACTGACCTAAATTGGATGTTATCAAAGGCCTTGCTATAGTCTACGCAGACCATCAGTGTTACCTCCCCTCTGCTTGATGCCCATGTTAGAGCGTCGCAGATCCCCAGTAAAACAGTAGTTGTTGAATGACCTTTCCAGAATCCTGATACTGTAGGACTGAGAAGCGCTTCCTCATTGATGTAAACAATGAGCTGGTTGAGCACCAAGTGCTCGAACACTTTAGATAGTGTTGGTAAAATCGAGACTGGATGGTAATCAGCATCAGATAAGGGCTCATCAACTTTAGGAATAGGGGAGATTCGTGCTATCTTCCAGGGTCTAGGAACACTTGATGTTGCAATACAACGGTTGATTATATGTGTCAAAGGACCCGGTATATGTACCTTGGCCAGTTTTACAAATTTCACCAGCATCTGATCTATACCAGTTGATGTATCGGGGCAGTGTTTATCGATCTTTCTACACTTCCATTAGGGAGACACAGCACAGGTTAAAAGGATGTGAGGTCGGAGGGCACTCCGAAAAAGAGTTCACAAGGTCTATTAGATCTGATCTTTTATCCAGTTTGGTACCTAGTGTTCTCTCATTTGTACTTAACAAGAATGTGTTAAGTCTATCCGTCCGCTTGTAGAGGTTTAGGACTAGGGTGGAGGATGCGCATTAATAACAAATACCCGTTTAGACTTATTAATCACAGATTTACTCTTATTGTGTACAGCTCTAAAAGCAACCCAGGAGTCATCATAACTATTCTCCTCATGAGCCTTGTGACACAATGTATCTAGCTCCGCTTGCAGCTTATATATCTCATCCAAGTTCATCCACGGTGGGGGTGGGTGTGCCACTCTAATCCTTTTAAAGAGTGCGTGTCTACCGATGCACTCGCCAAATAGGGTATTAAACCCTTGCACCATATCGTCTGGTGAATCTAAGCTGTACACAACTGACAGAGACAGGTTAGCACCAGTCTGATCCATTTGTACGGCAGCCGATAGCCAGGCAGGCGCACATTCACGCATGCAAATATACCCTCATGATCATTAATTGACCACCCAGGTATTACATCCGTGTATTACATCCAGGTATTACATGTGAGGTTAAAGAGATGCTATAGGTGTTGGCTGTTGTCGGGGTGCTAGGAGAGTAGTGTCTCTTTTCTTGTGCATTGTTTTGATCAAGCTTTTCCTTTGGTTGAGGCTTGCCATCTTTAACAGTAGGCTCATTTCTGTGTAGAAGGGTGCTGTGTCTTTTACTGCACTCCATTGGTAGATTTGGATGAGCAGTTGCATAAGAGATGACTTAATTTTGCACATCTAAAACATAAACCTTGGGACAAGATGTTGTGTCTCTCAACGGGGGAGGGGGAGGGTGTTCACGATCTTGTGGCATTTCACAGCTGAGTGGTTGCCTTGGCATACTGGACATGGTATTACCTGAGGTGGCGGAGCCACAGTTCTGCTAGTTTCTCCTGGTTTTGTCACAGATGAAAAGAAAGCCTGGCCTGTGCTGGTTTCACTTCACCGTTTTGGTCTTGTAACATGAACAGGCTGCTCATTTGTGTCAGTAGCTTTGCTTCTTTCTCTCTTGAGGTCATCAGGAGATAATACAGTATCATTAGCAACCTCGGTTTCATGTGTGACAAACTGGATGAAATCTTTAAATCCCATAGAGTTCTGACATCTTGCTTGTTCTTCATTGACAAACCTGCACCAATTGATGCCCGGGTGGGAGGGAAGCTTCGCTGACAGAGTTGCTAGTATTTGGCTAGAATCAAGCTCAACCATCAACTTCAAAGCTTTCATCACTTCCTGAAAGCATACCAAAAAATCAGAAAACTCTTGAAGACCTTTGGAATCACCATCATTTAAATTTGGCCAGTTCCGTAAATTTGACTTGTAGTTTTTGGCTACCACCATAGGGTTCTCATAATGCTGCTCCAATAGTTTGTTGGTTATAAGCGATGTCAGAGTTTGTGGCTAGAAATCCTTTTATCTCCTCATTAGCACTTCTGTCTGTGTATTTCTCTAAGAAAAATAGCTGATCCTTATCTGTGTGAACTTTGTTTGCGGTAATTGAATCAAATGCCGTGATGAAAGCAGGATACTCAAAGCTGTCACCCGAGAATACTGGTGCTCCTTTCATTGGCAAATGAGCTGCTCTTTGTTGATTCATGAGGAGTGAGCTCAATTCCGTTTGTTTTGCCTGCAAACTTACAAGATGGCTGAGAGTGGCTCCGATGTCTAATGACAGATACGGCTGGTTTTGCGATGTGTTGAAAGCTGGTATTTAACAAAAGGGTGTATGTTTGGATTAAGTTACTTGCTTATCTGCTTAACCTCACGTTCTTTTAATTGATCCTTAATTTCCGTTTTCACATCTTCGTTTTTGACCTCATCCTAAATCTTGTCTTTATCATTATTCTTTTCATCAGGGTCAATTAATGGTTTCTGTCTGGCATGGCAGTTCGTGTTCATCTCACTTCTTTGTTCAAAATTCTCTTTGTTACGTTTTCTTCTGCCTCGGCAATGTAGATTTCTTGTAATATGTGTAAT